TTTACTTTCACGGGGCGCGTTAATAAATGACGGATTAAAAAAATACCGTGGACATTTATCTGCGTTCGTTTAATGATCGGCCGAATTACCGGAGGGTATATATTCGCGCTAGAGTGGAGCGCGTTGCTAAAAAAAAAACAAAAAAAAAAAAACAGACACACACCCTGTAGATATAGCCCAGACATAGCCACTGCCTGGGTTATCAACCGATCGGGAGTAAATCTCTCGACCACTGTCAGACAGCATTCGACAGGTACGATAGTGAATTAACTCCAGAATAAATGGTGCTTCCTAGGAGGTTCCATTCACAAAATTTCTTCCAAACGACACGGGTTTACTGATACAGAACGCGTTTCTTGAGCATCGAAATCAGATAAATGAGAATTGTTTTTTGTTCAATTCAACGGAAAACGCTATCTTGCTTTTTTAAAATCGATTATCACATCTCAAAGTAATGCACTCTCTTTAGAGATCATTACTTGTTATTGTCATTATTGCCCAAACTGTAAAAAAACAGAAATTTTTTGAAACGTCGTTCGAAAACACAAAAGCCGGAGCTTTTTTACACAAAAATTCAAGACACATTTTGTAGATTCTCTTTTCTTAGATGTTAGAGAGACAGACGCGTCCATTCTTTGCGAAAAGGTCATGAATATCGTACCAGCCCAGCGGGGAGGAGAGAAAATGCTTCAATTTGCATCAGCCACCATTCTTCAGCTTCTTTGAATTTCGTCGCTATAGCGACTTTTGTCCAGATCGTGCCACAATGGCTACTATCTCTTCTCCCTCCCCCCTGACTGCGGGCTCTCCCCGTTCTTCCTGGAGGAGAAACTCCGGGTACAAACAAAGAATCCTCCCTGCGACCTCTCGTGAGAAAAGGGCCAAAAAAGCGAAAAAGGTCGATACACGAATAAGCGATGCGCCGGTTGGATAATCCGAGAAAAAAGACCGCGAAACGTGAACTCGCACTGTGGCGAGCCATCTCCCACCCCGTCCTCCCTCCGTCCCCACCTATCGAGATAGGAGCATGTACAGGGTGGATCTCTTCGAAAACCCACCAGATTTCAGGATACAGATGACGACGACAAAACAAAATATATATCTCACAGAAGATATCATGTGTACTCTTTTTTTTTTTTTTAACTGTAATCTGATTACGTGTAGTCTGATTACACGTGACACGGACAAAAATTCAATTTGATTAAATTATATAACACGTGTATTTATTTATATACTGAGCAATATATGATATACATTTGCAGACACAGACATGGAATATATATATGTACAGATTCAGGCTTCCGAAGATGCGCGTTATCTCGGAAGTGGATCACGAACGATCGTGTTTAACGAGTGATTTGATGCAGAAACAGAGAAACAGCCTCTTTTCGCCCCACCTTCCTCGGTGAAACTCGTCCTCCCGACGAAAGAATACACATCCTCGCGCTCGGACACCGTTTGGTCACGTAACTTTCGCGAATATTTGGATACCTTTGAAGAAACGAGAAAAGGGTGGTCTTAGTCTCCCGTGGGGTACAGAGAGAGGGGGATGGCACAGAGCGACAAAAGCGAACAAAGCGAGCAGCGTGACTACGGTAGCCAATGGGAGTCGCGCGCGCGAGGAGACATCGGGATCGAATCAGTTTATGCGCGACAGGTTCTGGAGAGAGATAGGGATAAAGGAAGAGGGAAGAGGACGAAGCGCACGAAGGAAAGAGGCACGGAAAGACAGAGGAGCTAGCAAGGAGGGCGGCAGGGAGGAGAGAGGGAGGAAAAGGAAGAGCAAGAGTGAGATGGCGAGGGGCCAACCAGACCGTACACTTTGCCAACTCTCCGACCTTCTGGTTCGCCGCCATGAAGAGGCATTATTTACAACGAGGTCTTTGGTAGACAATGCCGGGTAGCCGCGGCCATCTTTCGTTCCTTTTCTGTTTTCTATTTTCAACAGCATCTGCCGCGCGGACCGTCCCTTAATTCAGAACGCGCTATCGCTCTATGAATAAATAGACACCGCGCCCTGTAGCAAAGCATTAAAACTGTGTCTGTTCTTTTACATCTTTCATCAATCGTTTGTTACAAATCTAAAACGATTTCAAATAATACACGTGGAAGTGTCGCGTATAACAGATGCGAGTCAAGTTTGTATAGTTCGAGTTTAGAATTTTTTTTTTTTTTAAATACTACCGAAACACAGAACGGAACGAAGAGAGTTCACCTTGCGACGATTACGTTAGGAAAAAAGCCAACGACTGTACGTAACGGCGATCGCGCGAGGTCAACGCGCCCGGCTTTTTCCCGATTTTATGGGCAAAAGGAACGCGTCTCCCTCCTCGCATCGAGAGCCCCGCGCCGCCACCTAACCGCGCATCAGAGAGAGCCCGCTCATTGCTTGCGGGTCCAGTTGCGGCGCAGCAACCAAAAAACAACGAGTTTCCGCGCGCCGCATTTTCTTGCGTACATACATTGGTAACGCGTGCCTCTGTCACCCTCTCGGCGGCCATCTGCCGTGTGTCGTCCTCCAGCCTCCATCGAGCGCTCGCTCGAACCGGCAAAGAGGAACGATAACGGTCTTATCGTCGTGTCGAAGAACGAGAGTGGTCTGCAAATATTGCGAAGAAAGGGCGCGCGAAAAAGTAGTGAAAAAAAAAGAAGATGTCTCTGCGGTGATAGCGGAAGCAATACAGCAGCTGATCAGCTGCCGTTTTTTACTCGGAAACATACCCGCACGTATAATTAATGCGAGTTTCTCTGCAGAATCCTGCGAAGTTTTAAGAACTACTGTTCCAATAAAAACCGTTCCTCTAATCTCGTTCTTCGTTTCTCTCTTTTGCTCTTTTTCGCTCCTCTTCTCTTTCTCTCTCTCTCTCTCTCTCTCTCTCTCTCTCTCAATCCCTCTGCCGCTTCCCTCTCCTCCCTCATCGAGCAAGCGCATCCGGCGTTTGACAGAACAAAAGACTATCGACCGGAGAGGAGGGATTCGCGCTCCTCTTCCTTCCTCTTATCCTCAAAAATAGATTCTGCGCAAGCCGCCCCTTCGATCTCCCCTCTCACCTCCCGCCCTCTTCCCTCCCATCCCCCTGTGACAATTTTTCTTTCCGTTCGCTCGTGTCCCACGAATGTCCGAACGCTCGTCAATCTGTTTTCGATGAGAGGGATCGTCGCGGAGGGATGTCTCTCTTGACCGACGACGAGTCTCTCTTCCTGCGTGCACATCTAACGAGCCATCGCGTACAAATTATCGAAAATTGGCCCACTTTTTGAGCCCACTCGAATACCTTTCGACGTTCGGTAAACGTCGTGGTTTCTTCCTCATTGTCCTTCACATCCTCGGGACATGGGTTCTTTTTTTTTTTTTTTTTTTTTTTACCAATGACGGGGTGGCGCGGTGCAACACAACGATTCCCTAGCACCCAGCGCGAGATCGTTTTTGTCATCCGAGCGATTTTCGAGATTCAACGCTAGTTTCCGAATCCTAGGAAATTGGAACGTCTGCTCGTGCGAATAATTCGTTCGAAATCGGCGAGTAATTTCGAACATTAGACTCGACCGGATCTCGTTGATTATTTACCGAGAATTTTACGCTTTATTTTTTTTCCAAGTTTAAAAAACAAAGATATAATTTCTAACGCAATCAGTAAGTTGGGGTTTAAAAAATTTTTGCAACATTTTTTATAATCGCGATACATTTTAATTCTCTTAAAAATCGTTTGTCCTTTAATTAATGGAAAATATTGTCTATCCGACATTTGTATTCGCGTGTGTGTTGACAGCCTCGTTAAAACAAAAGCGTTCGTTATATCTCTTAGTACGATCGCACAACACATCATTTTTCTGTTGTCGACGACCGGAAACAACGAGATACTTATCTTTAACAAAGCCAAGGGGGATCGAGGAGAAATCGAGAGACGCGAACGGGCAATCGTTTATATTTCACGATCGCCCGGGCCCAAAAGAGGAAATGCGAGCGCACCTGCCAGCTTCTTCGCTTCGAGAAAACACACCGCGAGGGGACTCACGGGTCCCCGAAACTTGTTGTTTGCTCGAGAGTATCTCTCTCTCTTTCGAGAATCGTGCGCGCATGTAAATGCGCGCTTTCGCGATGTGACTCGTGAAGGTGATATTTCGAGGGGGTCCCACCCCGGGCGTCGGGGGCCCTGAGGACCGACGGCCATTGTATCCGCGCTCTCGCAAGGATGCGCGCGCCTGCGCCTGCTCATTAAATATTAACGAGAGTCTCAATTTCTTCATTTCGTTGATGAGTCGCCGCGCGCCATCCGAGAGAGAGAACCCGCATATAGATTGAAAATTAACTTATATGAGAGCCGACAAAATATATACGGCATGCGGTGCACTTATACGACTCAAGAGCCTACAATTTACACGAAGAGGCTCGGTATGTTGGTATAACCCCTAAGTAGAACCCTCGTCCTTCTCCTTCTTCTACTTTTACTTCTTCTTCTTGTCTTTCTGTTCTTCTTCTTCTTCTTCTTCTTCTTCTTCGTCTTCTTCTTCTTCTTCGTCTTCTTCTTCGTTGTCGTCGTCGCCGTTGTCGTATCTTCCTTTCGGCTTATCCGCTTCTGGCCGAACGCACGAACGTGAAATCCTTAAATACCTAATTTGATGCTAATTACAACTCGCACTTGCGCTTCGTAAGAGAGCAGCAAAAGCATGCTCTTGCGTGTGGCAGAAAGCTGTGTTCAACAAGGTGCTATATGATAAACAGTCAACGGCTCGTTCGGTGAGGATTAAGTCTCAACTTCGAAGATATTTGTAATTTTTTGTGTTTTAATTTTGTAGATGAGAAACTAAGTAAATATTTAAAAACCAACGATATCGCGAGTGATTCGCAAGAAGCGCGTAAATTTTACGCAACTTACCTTTTTGCTCGTGATCGAATGTCGAACGGAGAAGGCAGCGAGAATTAGAGAGAGAAAGAGAGAGAGAGAAAAAAAGAGAGAGAGAGAGAGAAAGAGAGAGAGAGAGCAAGAGTTGCGTCCAAGTCGAGACGTACATAACTATTTATTATGCGATAATAGTTTGCAATAGAATGTAGCACATTAATTTGTCTATAGAGTTAGAAATAATTGCTTCGCTCTTTACATGTACATTTAATCGTCGCTATGTTACACATACCTAAACGTGCGGCCTATCGATTTTCTCTGTTGAGCATCACGTGACAAAATATACATCGTAAAAAGTACCCGTAAAATGTTATTCAAATGATTTTATTTAGAAAAGGAGTTTCGGGATAAAGGAAACAAATTTATCGATGCTTTTCGATTATTACCAATACATGGAAGAGAAAGAGAGAGAAAGAGAGAGAGAGAGAGAGAGAGAGAGAGAGAGAGAAAAGAAGGAATAAAGAATTTAAATTAGAGAAAGATTAGCGAGATAAGACAGTACTTGTTAGATAGTATTTGTGGAAATAGACCGTCAGCGATTAACTCCAATATAAATCCCGAATACTTTAAATTTTCAAATGCGTTTCAATATTGAAAAAATATTAAATCTACAATAATTCCTTCTATGACGTTATGTATGTCTTAAACTTGATTAAGGTATTCGCAAACAACTCGCGAAAACTTAATCTTTATTCGCAACCATTTGTGTGCACATGTACTTGCGTCAAAACACTTTTGTGTGTGTGTGTGAGTGTGTGCCTCGTACTGCTCGAATTCAAAACTGATTTGAAGGAAAATCACAAGAACGCAAAGGCTTGATCAAGACTAAGTCTCTCGCCCTTCAAGTTGTTCGCGTCGTAATCTGGTTTGCAAAAATATTTTGCTACGTCTTTTTTGAATTCCAGCAGCTTGTTAAACATTCTCTTTCTTAGCTACGGTTTGGCACGAGCAGAGGAACGCTGTGTTCAAGAACTTCCACTTCGCGTTTACGCTAATATAAAAATCGCAGACACTGGTCTATAGATTTCGTCAATTATCTTTTGATGAAAAAACTTTATTTCGATCATCAAAAACCCCCGTTTTGATTCTCAATTTGATAATGGAACTAAGGCTCTGTTTTTTTTTTTTTTTTTTTATATTCAACGCAGGAGAGAGAAAATTACGATAAATGTACGTATGTTTTAATGTATTCATTTCTCAGATGTGATAATTCGCCGACAAGTACACTACAATAATATTGATGAGATATGTTACGATGACGATCATCTAAGAACAAATACATTAAAGTGTATATATTCATCCGAGTGCGAAGCTATAATATATACAAAAATTTTCTGCTTGCAAAATAGAAAATAAATTAAGACGTTTTAATTTTTGCTAAGTTTTTTTGTTTTTCTTTTTGCTTGCGTTGTTACGTGTTTGTTCGCACAGACGAATCTCCCGTTTTAGTTCTACGGCAACACCGACCTCTGTGGCGACACTTTATAAGGTTGTTCTAAACAATTGCATACGCGAAAACGCAAATTCTCAATAAAACACGACGTAATTACTTAAATAATAATAACGCTCTCTTTGTATACGTACCCCTACGTTACACATTCTTACTATCCTCGTCTAGTAATCTTTGGTAATTCGGATGTGCATGGAACTATGAATATTATCACTGTTTGCTTAACATAATCGAGCGTCCTCGAGCTTTTTACCCGCTAGACTCTATCTAACTAGGCTGTGTCCTTTGGAAATATATACCCCTCCGATGAGTCACTTCTCCCGTCCAGTGGGACGCGTTATCGAATATTTCTGGATGATTCGATCTCGTCTTCGGAACAACATCGTAGTTTGTTTTTTTTTTTTTTTACATACATCCCTCGGGAAAATTCTCTTTCTCGATTGTTCGACAATCGTTTTTCAAATCGGACTGCATCGGATGCCGTGAGATCTCAAACTGACTGTTTTGAAAACCGACCCGTCTGAGAATCGCTCTCTAGATGTAGTGGAATGTACTTCAGATTGTTTTTTGTTTAAGCGCGCACGACAACCGTTGTTGTCACAACGTGTCGACAATCACAGCGCTCGTGCGTTCGTCGGTGAGACTTTCTCTAGAAAACGACGACGGATACGGATGGTCGTCAACTTGCCGTGAATCCTAAACCCGGATCCCTCGCGGGAAAGCGCGTCGATCCCTCTTATCCAAGATGGCTGGAGAGGTTGCTGTACGCGTCCTCCTCCATTTCAAGCCGTCGTCAGTAGAGATCGGAGAAGGAGACCTGAGACGAAACGCCGGAATGCAAATGATGAAGGGCATGCAGTTCTTCCATGGAAGTGGAGGGCATGCTGTTGCTGTCGCCGAGGATGCTCGCGGCCGGCCCGACGTTTGGAGAATTTCCGGTGCTGGAGGACACCGGTGTACCGGCGCAACCGACGCTCCCGCCGGTGTTGTTGCCGTCCTGCCGCATCATGTTCCGTCGCCATTTTGCACGCGCGTTTTGGAACCACACCTGGACAATGCAAAATCGACGAAAATCGCACATTTATTTATCGGTCTTGGTTAGTTCTACTTTCAAAGCTACTTCAGACAAAGCACAGAAGCCTTCACCTGCAGCACCCTTTTCGACAAGCCGGTCTTCTGCGCGAGCTGCTTGAGGTCCTTAGCGTCCGGATTCTGATTGATGGCAAAGTAATTCTTCATGGTGCGCAATTGATGATGCTTGAAACTGGTGCGCATGCGTTTCGTCCGCTGACTCTGATGCATCGGTCCCGGAGAACCCACGGATCCGTCGTACGCGGCCAGCGACTCCATTGACGAGGACAGCTCCGTGGGATGCAACAGTTCTGCAATGGCGACGTCGACTAGAAAGCGTATTTTTTACATGAAACTGCGACAATGCGTCACGCGCATCTTCTGCCCACAAATCTCGCTCGGACTTGTGAAGTGACATTCGGTGATAAAGGAGAAAACAGTGGACTCTGGCTAACATACGATCATGAAGTTAGAAACAACTTGAGGCAACTAAAAAAACGCTGGTTGACTTTTAAGATACTTTTAAGATTATATAAAAAATATGATTAAAAAAATATCATACAAATATATATTATCAAAAATATCTCTAATACTTTTGGGACTTTCAACTTTGAAAAGTTTTTGCAATTTTCAGTTAAATACCGAATAATTGTATTGTGTTAGATGTTTCGATATCTATGAAAATACTTTTCACGGTCTCTTCCAATTTACGCTCCGCCTTGGCTGGGTAAACGTGACTCGAGAAGGGTTTTAATTCCGAGACGAAGAGATTCGCAAACTCGATTCTCTTTTCGTAACCTCACGATTTTGCGAACATAACTGTGCTTTTCTCCAATCGCCTCCGGGAAAAAAAATCCTTGTCCGTTCACCTCGACAAGAAAACGAATTCCGAAAGTGCCGCGGCCATTCGCGAAAACGGTTTTTCTCTCCTTTCACCTGTCTCTCTCTTTCTCTCCCCGATCTGTTCTCTTCTTTCTTTCTCTCTCTCTCTCTCTCTCTCTCTTTCTCTCTATCTTTTCTCTTTGGCGAACCAGCAGATCGCCGTTCGTTCGGAATGGAAGTTCGGAACAATAAACAGTAATGGCGCATACGTGCTCGGGGATTTACTTCTGGGATCTCTTCTCGCTCCCTCCCCCTCATCCCCTCTTTGTCGACTGGAACCCGTTCTTCTCCCGATTGAATTCAATGGTTACCCTCGTCGTCTTATTTATTGGATGCGTTCCTTCGCTCCGCCGGCGCGCAACAACTGCAACTGCGCACACAACTCGTTCTCTCTTTTCTGCGATTCCCTCTCTCCGCGCTTTTTATTTTCGTCCGACATGATTTAGATCAATTCGTACGGGGTGACATAACCCGCTAATTGATCAATTAAAGACACTTCTCCCGCGTGTCTGAAGATTCCCGGATGAATCCGTCAAGCGCGGTGCTCTTTCAGAAAATTACATTTTGCGGAGAATATTTTTACAAAAAGAAAAACAAAAAAAAAAAGAAAAACAAAATCAAAAACACTCCGTGTGTCTCTCTGGTCTTTAATGAGAAATTCTACACACGCGCGTATTTCACGCGCGGAAGATACGCGTAAGAAAGAGGACACTTGAAAAAGAGAGCGGTACGTTCTCTTGTTTTGGCGTGATATTCTGCACGCGAGTCGAATCGAAATTGGGATTTTCCCAGCGTGTATTTCGATCCTACGTCGGTTCGCCTTTCTGCGTGTCCCCGCAGAAAGAAGAACGGCACCGGTGGACAGTGACAGATAGGTATCGGCACCGCGAGATGCATCGATTGGCCGATCTGCCCGGAAAAGAATGCTGCCGTGGCCAATGCGTGGCCACCGCCAGCAGAATGGCCGGCCGCGGAGCGTTATAATGCCGCCTGTGCGCGAGTTTCTTGCCGCACCGCGTCGCCAGGAATCCCTCTCTCGTTTCTTCTCGTCGGTTCTCGGTTCCTCAGTCTCGGCGATTTTGGCTTCTAACTCGTCCTGACAAATTGTAATCTCATTCTTAAACCGCTAAATCCGCTCGGTCTCTTCCCCTCCGTTCAACAGAGAAAGAGAAAGAGAGAGAGAGAATTTCTCTCGAGCGCGCATCCTATTCTCAAAGGATAATATCTTCTTAATTCTACACAGAGATAATATGAGATAATATACGTTTATTTTGCATAAGAGAAATATAAGTTTTCGTCATTATTACACAAAGTTGCTACAAATTAATACACATCCACAATATTGTACATCTTCGTGCAAAGACAATTTGTATATTCCCTCATCGTACGAAGTACCTATATATGGGGAATTGTGAGAAATTTTGGAATTTTCACTTCTCCGAGTGAAGTCGCCTCGGTCGGACATTGCGCGTTGCACAACTCACGAACACACACATTTAACCGTCTTCTTGTCGGGGGATGATTGCTACGAGAATGTCTCTGCGATCTGCCGTCGGTCGTTCAGGCGTCTCCGCCGTTATATAAAATAGCCCTCTTCGTAGTCGGCGTGTCTCTTTAGCAAAAACTGTCCCAATTATATATAAAGACAATAAAACACATCGCGAGGGTTCTTTCTCTCCCAGGCCAGTTGTTCCCACCCGAAGTCGCCGCGCACGCACAGGGTTTCACGGACGATTTTATAGCTGTTGGTCGTAAATTCCGGCCGGTAGTCCACGAGGAAGAAGAGAGAGAGAGAGAGAGAGAGAGAGAAAGAGAGAGAAGGGAGAGTGAGTGATCCTTCGCTCTCGTCGATTATAAAATAACTGGGAATCGCGCGGCGCGGTGTATATACCGGTCGGGCCGCATCGCGCCATCTTGGCTCGCGTCCAAACTGCCCCGAAACGATCGTAAAATCAGCGAGAATCATGTCGAAACGGCGATACGAGAGAGGGTGATGGGCCGACAAATGACATAAGCCGAAGTGGACGCGAGGAGAAATTGATGACTTCGGCTCCCTTCGGGGGGCCCGGCCGACATCATATTATTCATAATTTTCTTTGACCGGGGGTACTATGTGAATATCGTACGATTTTATATTTTATTGGGAACGGGATGCGCGTTATACACGTTTTGCCTCGTAAAAAATTCGTTCGGGCTGTATTGCCCCAAGCGACACTTTCGCCGCGTCTGATTTTTCAAAATTTGAGCGTAAAATGAAGAGAGATACGATTTTTACTGCACCGTAATTTCACGCCCTATTCACATTTGTACTTAATAAGTGAAGATTAAAACAAGAGAGAGAGAGGGAGAGAAAGAGAGTGAGAGAGAGAGAGAGAGAGAAAGAGAGTTTGCATATCCTTATCACCGCGATAAATCTGTTATCGAGGATACGCGTGTATACCCCGAGTCCTCGAGCAATTAGACATCTGCGTAGCGCGCGAGAATTCGTCAAAGAATACCGCACACTGATGTTGAATGCTCCAGTTAACGACCCGAATAATCGCAAACGAAATGAAATAACATCTGCGATTCTTGAGAGCTTGAGGGTAAATGTTTGCACGAAGGAACGCCCTATTATACTCGTTGCTCGGTAAATAATGCAACTTTGTCGATTAACTCGTTTGCTGTAGCGTGGATTGAAGAAGAAGCATAAGGGAAAGAGAGAGAGAGAGAGAGAAGGGAAGAAAGAGAAAACAGAATAGTAAAGAGAGAAAAGGGCAGAGGAAAGACCAAGTCTGGGGTTTTCTCTTATCCTAATATAAAAAAACTGCAAATAGGCAATTTGAAATTATCAACGCTATTCGAAATAACTCGCAACAATAGGGAAAGAAAGGGAAGTAGAGAAGAAGTGAAGGTAAGAGAAAATATTCATTCACGACCGTAAAAGATCGCGAAACATACATTGGTTTGACTCACCGAGCGCTCCGGCGGCAAGTCTCATCGTGACGGGAAGCTCGGAGCCGGTGACTTCTGACAGCTTCCGCTTCCTGGGTCGGCCCTTCTGCACCGTGCCGGAGGAGACTATCGGGCTCTGCTCGTAGTAAGCCGGTAGCGGCGACACTCCCGGCGAGCCGAGGTCCTCGATGTTGCCGGCAGCGCCCCCGTAATCACCGCCGCAGCACAGCAACTCGTAGTGTGGTCTTGGGAGCGACGTGCTCGTCAGTCGTCAACCTCTCTGTCAAGTAGTCGATAGACGACCTGACCTCCGCATTATGCGTCAAGTTCGATGAACGAGTTCGACTGCGTGCGGACGTGATCGTTGGGACCAGCGTGGGAAGTTTTGAATGAACGGAAGGATCATAGCGGCGCGATCGGGAGGGAAGAAGATGGCCGGGCGAAACTGTGAAATTGTGACTTCGAATTTGACACCCCTTTCAACAATTGCTTCGTATCATTAAATTTTCTCACATTGAAAAATTTCTACGCAAGTAGTTACATTAGTAGTTTGTAAAAGTTACAGATTAATTAACAGTAAAAACTTGTTCAATTGTTGAAAGAAATGCGTTTGTAATTTAAAAATCGAACGCACAATTTAAAAAATTCTTGATTATTTTCAAGTCGTCTTCGCGTTCGTGAATCCTCTCAAGCCTCGTCTCGCTCTCTTGACACTGAGTCTTCGCTCGCGAATGACTATCATTAACGTTCAATAACCATCATTAGACGAAGAAGGGTGGAAAGGAGAAAAAAAAGGGAGAGAAGGGGGAATGACTTGGGCGCGACAAAACGCCTCGTGCTCCTGTCAATCTCGTCATCGAACTCGTTGATAACAAGGAGAGACGGCCTTTGGTAGGATGGTAATGATCAGACACTTCTGTTTCTCACCTACAGTACACCAGTCCGTCCCGCTGGCCGAAATGGTCACCTTTGTTCAGCGGAGTGCCGCAGGACGCGCAAGTGAAACACGCCACATGATACACCAGTTCGCGCGCCCGCATCACCAGCTCCGACGCGGAGATACCGGCGCGACATCGGGAACATCGGGACACCGCGAATAATCTGTAAAAACATTTTGACAATTAGACACTATGGACTTTGGAGATCAATCATCTTCGTCGAAATGTTCGAAAGAGCTTTCGACTTTCGTTCGAAATGTTATTTTCTACTCTGCGGAAAAGTATTTTACCGCGGTAGAAGAGCAGAAATAAAAAAAAAACGTGGAAAACTTTGCTGCCTGTCGAAGTTGGACAAAAACTACGTGCGCGAAATTTTGTAAACCCAATGATAACATTATATTTGTGCTCGCGAATGTGTTGAGCGTGCGCGCGCGCGGGCGCGTATTATGAATTCCGTTTGAGATGAATTTCAGCAAGCGATCGAAGCGCGGACCCATTCACATTCGCGCAGACGGAAACAAAGGACTCGCGTTGTTGCATATTGCATGGACGACGGCTGTTGAATTCCTCCCCCGGTTCGCTCTAACGAACTCGCTTCTCAGCCTTTCATTCCGCTCTCCTAAAACGCAATGGATGTCATCGCGTAAAACGTATATTATTTCATACGATACGCAATATTCATATTTTCTCTCGTTTACAATGTTTTTCTTTTTTTTTTTTTTTTTTTTTTTTTTTTTTTCCAATTTTGAAATTTATCCCTTTCATTTTACAATTTTATTTTTAAGAACTTTTGTTTCTTTTTTTTTTTTTTTTTAAGGCTGCCTTTTTTTTCATTTTCTTTTATCGCCGTGCTAAAGATGTATAGAACTCTGAGATT